GGCCGCTGTCGAGCCGCCCGGGCGCACGGAGACGATCAGGCTGAACGCAGCTGGAGACTGCCTCAAACCGGGCAAAGGAGGAACTTCACCGTGCTCCAACGCCAGCGGTGCCTTCCTGGCATCGCGGCGAACGCTCGCATTCAGAGTTGGCTTCAGTTTCCTTCTGCTACTCAGGTGTATGGAAAAGCAAATCCAAGAATTCAGCCACGGAGCAGGTAGTGATAGCTTTTGTTAAAAAAAAAAAACAACTCCTTTGCTTCCCGATTAAAACTGTCCAGGGCGATTATGCTGTTGGTTACCAACACGTGGTGCTGGCACATGTGCCCCACAGACCCATACCAGGCACAAATGCCACTTTGGTTCAGTACAAGCAATGCGTGCTGGCTTGCACACAACAGTCAAAAATAAGGTCTATTTTTTTATGTATTTCAAATACTTAAGAAGAATGTTGCATTATTGGTCTTCCTGCAGGTAAATAAGTTGGCGATTTACAGCGAGTAAACACTATTCAAAGAACTGATTTCCCAGGTGGCCTGCCTCAGAAGTAAGCATTGTAAAACTGGTACCTGATGACAGGAATTGTGCCATCCAGCGCTGAATTCAGAGGATGGATAAAAGAGACCATAGCAAGGCAAGGACATTTTGGTAAGAAATTGCAAATGAATTCACAGAACAGTTGAGGTTTGAAAGGCTTTCTTGAAATTATCAAGCACAACCCACATGCCCAGGCATGGTCAGCTAGAGCAGGCTGTCCAGGACCATGCCCAGTTGAGTTTTAAGAAGCTCCACAGATGAGACTCCAGAACTTCTGGCAGTCTACAGCATCCCTCACAATAAAAATGTATTTTTTTCTGTTCCAGCGGAACTCCATGTGTTTTAGTTTGTGCCCATTGCCTCTTGTCCCGTCAGTGGGCACTGCTGAGGAGAGGGTGAGTCCTTCATTCTATCCCATGAGATATTTATGCACATATGTAAGATTGCCCCTGAGCCACCTCTTGTCCAGCCTAAAGAGCCTCAGCCTCTCATGTGACAGATGCTCCAGTCCCATAATCATCTTTGTGGCCCTGTGCTGTTAAGGCCCCCCAGTTAAGTCCACATCTTTGTACTGGAGAGCCTAGAAGTGGACACAGTGCTGCAGGTATGGCCTCGCCAAAGCAGAGTAATTTGTACGAGGAGTCCAAGGAATGTCCATCCTGCCAGCACTGCAAAGAAGGGTCTATCCAAGGCTTAAAAATAATAATAAATCACACCATAATTCCTTCTTCTCAGTTGTTCTTGTTGCAAACATAGTTAAGATGTATGCTGACAAAAAGGAATAATAAGTTTAAATATAAACACAACCTCATAAGTCATTCTTAAGGAAAAAACTACATGCCTTCACTTGAAGTGCATCATCCCAATTGAAGTTACTTGCTTAAGGGAGTGTAAAAGCGCAAGAGGCCACATTCTCTCAAGCCAATACTTTAGTAGTGGATAGTGTCTTAACTCCTGGCAGGCCTTCGTGCTGCTGAACGGGAAAGTCTCAGCCGCTGTGGGCAGTAGCTGTACTTCTGTTCTTACTATGCTATTAAAGTATTTCAGACACTGCACTACTTACCCAAAATACAATTTAATGATGTGACAAGCAAAATTAATAAAAACCAACCATGCTTCTCTTTAAAAAATTACTAGACTGAAGCAACAACTGTCAGAAATATTCTTATAATCTAATCTTACAGTGACAAAACATTGCATTGTGAGGTTTTAACTTCTTGCCCATCTTTTATTTGAACAACCAATCACTTTGGAATTCAGAACGTTCAAAAAATAACATCTTTGTCAGTGAGGAATGAAGTGAGGGACTGAGCAGGGAGAACAGAAATATTGCTTAATAATGTACAGAATGAAAAAGATTTTGAAGGAAAGTGCTGGGATTTTTTTTTTCTCCAGGCCTTTTTAATTCAGCTGAGAAATACACTAAAATCCTCTTCCTTGAGAGCACAGTATGCGCCAGCAGTGCCAGATACACGTTATACGTTTCTTTAGGCCTTGAAATTGCCAATGTGTTCACGAGCTATGATGATCCTTTGAATCTGAGCAGTTCCCTCATAAATCTGAAAAGAATAATTGCAGTAATGTTAGCTGATGGTTTTATAAAAGGTTTTAACAGAGCTACACTTTTAAAACTTCATGGAACTAATACAGAATGGATTAGGATGTGAAGAACGACAGAGAAAACAGAAAATACCAGTGTGACAGGGTAACTACAGTGGGCTAAGTGGACTAAAGTCACATACAAGATATTGAGAGACAGTCTTGTTCTCTCAGGTGCTCTTATCTAAACTATGTAAGGTTCTCATGAAAATAAATGGTAGGTGAAGAGAGATGAGGAAGAATTCTTATCTGAGAAAGAAAATACATAGTTTTTACAAAGTAGGATTTAAAACAATAGGTGGGGGGGAGGAAATCACTTGTGCTGACAGTGTTATATTTTCTTTGACTAGCCTTTCAAGGTCATACCAAGTGTTCTCTTTGATCTATTTATTTCCATTTCTACTTGTTAACTAGTACTTTCTCCCATACTGTTTTGTTTTGTTTTGTTTTTCAATCATGTATTTTCTTCTAGAAACTGCATCATCCCTCAGATTTATTTGCTGGAAGCAAAGTCAAAGATAGACAACAAATCATACAGGAAGCTCTAATGCTGTAAGGAGGCTGCAGGCTCCACAGGTACACTGCAATGTAACACAAGGGCTGAGGCAACACAGTTCAGGGGTTTAAGTGTTTCAGCTCCCAGTTCTGCCAGAACGTGGTTTGGCAAACTGCTCAGATTCATGCAAATTCACTTTCTCATTCACTTACAGGAATAATCTTCCCAAGAACCTTACAAAGCTTTTTGAAAATAAAGACACTAGGACCTGCATTCACATGAGTTTTTTGGTCCAGAAGAAACTGTTCATTCCCAAAGTGAATTATATTGACTGCTGCTGCTTACCCCATGTTACCCCAGTTCATAGAAAGCAGTTTTGTTACTAGGCACTTTTTGGAGCAAATTGAAATGGAAGCTCTGCTTTCTCTATATACCAAATACCCACCAATCCCTCATGAAGTCATAATGGCCTGAGCCATCCAGACTGGACCCTTACAAGTCCACGCACATCTGGGGGACACAGTCCAAGAGGCCGAACAAGTTTTCTCTAAGCTCAGCCTGCCCACACTGCTGATGAAGGTGTAACTGCTGGGGCTGCAGCAGCTGCTCTGCAGTCTGCTCCTCCTCTGCTGAGTTACTTGCTGCTGCAGACAGCCACAGAACTCAAGTTTAAAGACATCAAAACCCACAGCCTTTTTAAGTAACCAGAAGACAGGTTTTTGTTTATAAGCCAATGGAAATAGCTTCAAGAGTCACTGCCAGTTTCAAGAGGGGAAATTTTCCAAATTTGAGAAGGGAAACTAAGTTAGGGTTTCTACCAGTGTAGCCTAGATTTCTTGCCAGACAAACCTAGAGCAGAGTAAGGACATGTAAAAATGTTACCCGAAAACACAGTACTAAAATTGTGCAATACTGAAAAAGATCAAGTATGTGGAAGGCAAGCTGGAGAACCAAGGTTTTGTACATGAAACACATGGCCAAAAGCCTACACCATCTGGAACTGGGAAGCAATACAGTAAAGCACAGTGAAGTGCAAGATACTATCAAGAGACATGGACAAAATAATTGTAAAGCCTTTCCTGAATTCTTCTAGGGATGAAGTGCAGCAGAAAACCACCAAAAACTTAATACTAAATCTGATTCATCTAAATAATTAAAAAAAAAGTTATGCATTTATGATGGATCAGTGCAATACAAAATCTAAATAACTGGGATGCTGTAAAATCAATCTCAGCTTTCAAATAAACTTCTAACCCTCACATCCCCTTTCTCTAGAAAAGTGTGCAACCTGACAGGAAAAAGGCCCAATCATAATAATATTCAATTAATCAGTCATTTCCTCACTCACAGGAGTGCAATTAGTTCTAAGAATCTTTAGATTCAAAAACAGTGGTTGTCTTTCCTTAAATAGAGAAGAATGAATACATGGTTAGTGAGAGTAAGAGTTTTCATTTTAAAGTCATCTGTAAGAGAAATGTGAACTACCTGGAATCTCAAGAGTGACAGCTGTTAAAGCTAACATCACAGGTCATGGTCTGCATGCATTTCTTGGTACCTATTTTGGTATGCTTTATCTAGTTCCTATTAACGTCAGATAACGTCAGTGAAGGTTACTGGTTTCACGGAACACAAAACAGTCTTGCTGAATAAAGAACAGTAGCATAGTATATGCTAATAGAATTACCACATGACATGGAATAATTTCTTGGCAGTAACACTGCAGAAAGAAACATGGGGATTATGGGTGACTGGGATAAACATGAGTAAAACTGTGCAGGTTTTGTTGTTAAAAAAGGCTAACCATGTTGTCACACTTCTTTTAATACAACACATGCAAGACAGGCATTCCATGATACTCAACACTGGTGATTTCTCAACCTAAGTATTCTACCCAGTTTATGATACCAGTGTTTCAAACAGCAAGTTCAGAGCACAACAACTAATTACAAAAAGGCTGAAAACAGAAAGGGGAAAAAGTTATAAACAAACAAACAAAAACACCCCCCCCCCCCAAAAAAAAAACCCACCCACCCCACAACAAAAAAAAAAAAAAAAAAACACCAACCAACCAACCAAACAAACAAAAAAAACCCAAACAAACAGCTTATGAGTTAAAGTGTGAAGAAGAAGCTGCTTTAGTGTTCAGGCTGAGAGGAAAGCTAAACTTTCGGCAGGCAGCAGTCTAGGATACATATGGAAGGTCAGAGGATTCCCATCACTGAAGGTTTTCAAGGACAGCATTAAGCATAAACCATCTCTACTTAGAGAACACCAAAGCAAGCACTGGTATTTTGATCTGTTTTTGCTATGCTAGTCTTTTTCATAGAGTTCAAAAGCTTCAAAATTAATAATCCAAGAATTTCAAAGTTACCATATTGGAAGGAAAAAAACCAACAAAAAGCCAGAACGTAATTTAATTCTCTTGTGGGTGTTGAGTTGTTGCTTCAGTGCCATGACTTCTGTGTGCAAGAATTTGCCTGATTTGAGGGACTCTTTTCTTTAAATTGAAGGATTATTTTTTCATTGTAAAAACTTTTTTATATATGTACATCATGATTTGAAAGAAGTAGCCATTAGGGTTTTTTTATATAAAATATGTTACTATAAAGATCACATTCTCTCTTTTACTCACCTGGTAGATTTTAGCATCCCTCATTAGTTTTTCTACGGGATATTCAGTATTAAATCCATTTCCTCCAAAAATCTGGACTGCGTCTGTGGCCGCTTGGTTGGCGACGTCGCCTGCGAAGGCCTTGGCGATGGAGGCGTAGTAGGTGTTCCTGCGGCCGGCGTCCACCTCCCAGGCCGCCCGCTGGTAGGCCATCCTCGCCAGCTCTACCTTCATGGCCATCTCAGCAAGCATGAAGGACACCGCCTGGTGCTGTGAGGGATGACGTGGACCAGGTCAACACTGCTCAGAATCTTCTTCATACCATGATCTCTTACAGCAAAATCAGTAAATGGTACTAGAGGAGTTCTGCGGAATATGGATCGGGCTCTCATAATTGTTATGTTCAACTACACTTTTAAGTCTTTTATCCTCAAACCCACTTAGTCACAGGGATCAAATACTGAATTATGAGGTTCTTCCTCACTTCAATCATGAGATTGTTATTTACGTTGCTTTTTATTCATAGTTCTTTAAAACAGGTTAGCAGTGTGACTGGCAGTGTATTCTGTTAGTGTGAACACCGTGCATTTTGTTTCATGTACCTCAGAGGTTTTTTTCTTTCCTGAAGAACTGAAGAATGTCCTAATAGTACATGAATTTCAGGCTTTTTGGGCAAAGTTTTTTTTCTGCCTTCACTACTATCACTGATAAATTATAAGAAAGTTCCTGAAGTTATCACATAGCTGTAAGTTTACTTAAATGGTGCTGACCTACATACTTGGAAACCCAAAAATGGCGGAAATAAAATATAAAAATTAAGGTACCCTAAAAAATCAAGGCATAACCTTGAAAAATCAGTAGTAGTACATCTGGTGTGAAAATACGGCTTTTATTTATATTGCCTCTTTTCCCCCTCCCTGCACTTACTTCAACAATTGCTTTCCCAAAGGTTTTTCTCTCCAAAGCGTATCTGGTAGCTTCGTCAAGTGCTCTTTTGGCTAATCCAACAGCACCAGCTGCTACCTGAATTGAACACAGGACAGAATAAAAAAATCAGGAATTCACGCTGTATTTTATAAGTAAATCACTTCTCATACTTACGGGTGGTCTAGTCTTATCAAAAGCTCCCATGGCGATTTTAAATCCAGCTCCCTCAGCTATTAACACATTTTCTTTTGGGACCCTCACATCTTCAAAGACAATACCTCTTGTATCTGAGCAGCGTTGACCCATATTCATTTCCTGAAACGAAAAATTTATAAAGGTGCAACTAAACTGGGTTGTTCAAAAGTACAGTATGTTTTCATTCTTTAGTTTACTCAAATCATAAAGTATGCTTTTTTCCCCAAAAAGACTTCATCCAAAAATTACCATATATATGATAAATATTAGTTCTGCACTTGCAGACCAGCACGCCCTTAAATTGTCTTGAGATGGGCAGTTGACTTTCTCCTCTGAAATTGGATCTGTAGCTGTAATCAGTCTTGTTGTCTTTCTCTAGTTCAGCTACATGCTTTGAAAGGATGGGAGTGGAAAATCTAAAAAATCTAATATGCAGGCAGTACAGGTGTACTACAGGTAAATAAATGAACTTTTCAGGTTTTCACATTCCCTTCCTTATGTTCAACATCCATTTTTGTCTACTACTAAATTGGGCTTTTTTAAGAGAGAATTAACACCAGTGTCTCCAAGGCCTCTTCCTCAACCAGAGATAGCTAAAATTAAAGCTCACTCTGTGTGTATTTATGGTTAAAATTGTCCAACTTTCTTCTTACCCTTTAAAGGCACATTGCTTCTCATTTATGGGCATTTGTCAATAAAGTAGTTCCCAAAGATTCCTTTGAGCTGTTCAAAGTCATCTTAATTTAGAATTCTGAATAATCCCTTATCTGTACTAATAACATTATAATTATGCCTTAAGAATAGTTTCTTTATGTTATGAAAATGAAAATGTCATTATACATGAGCATATGAAGTTGCTCAGTTGCATAACAGTCTTTTCAATGGTAATTCATTGTATTATTGGTTTAGAATCGAACAATAATTCCTGGCTTGTCAAGAGATACACTCTTCACCTTTCTTCCAATTTGGATTCCAGGACTGTCTGCTTCCACAATGAATCCAGTAAAGGCTTTGCTTGCAGGGGCTTTTGGATCTGGATTGGTACGAGCCAGCAAAAAATACCTGGTGTAAATTAAAGAAGGATGTGGTTTATCCCCACAGTTAACAGTTGGATAACTTTTAGATAATATTTACATGTTTTTATGTGCTTTCTACCATATAATTAATCCTGTCTGTGAGTTAACAACCCTTTTTTCTTGCTCCTCACAGATATAAACTGAAAGGGAGTGAGAAAAAGGAAGTTTCAAAGAATCGAGATCTCATAAAATGTAGTAAAATTATTTCAAATCAGCATGCAAAGATTCTTCAACTTTTCTATGTTTTCTAAGTCTTCATGATATTATCAGCTTCATGAACAGTACCAAAGAAACCTACTTATAGCACAGATCTAAAAATGAATGCTTAGGAAATGCATCCTTGAGTGCAAAATGTTATCACCTCATTTGAAAGACCTTAATTTTATTCTTCTAAGTACAAGTAAGGATTTCTCTTATAAATTAAACTGTTGTAGATCACATTTATGGTGTTCAGTAACGTCAAAAAGTATCTGGTAAGTTGCCTGTGATGGATCTGCCTTGAACAAGGAAATAAATAAATAAATAAATCAGGTTTTGAATAAATGTATAAAGTTTTTCCACTTGAATTAAGAATTTGTATGTTGCAAAACCGTGTACGTAAGACAATATATTTATAATATAAGACATTATGAAAGAGGCTTATGTTGTGAAGCACACTCCATAGACACCACAGCAATATCTGGATTCTTTGACAGCTGGAAAATATCTTCCCTTCAGAAAACATCATGTAACACCACAATCCAACAGTGTTTCTACCTTCACTAGAAGTGAGAGGTGTTTCTAATAGAATTAGAAGCAACTGATCTCAATCACCACAGCTACAAAACAAGGCAGTTAAGTTAAATCATACTGTTGCTGTCCCAGAGAAAAAGCAGTATTAATTTTGTTTTGATAGCAGCAAGATTTGAGAGGCCTTCTTGAGCGAGGAGTTGCCATGTCATCACTCATTTTCCTTCTCAGGCTTTGCACAGCACTGAGACTGCATTCTTATATCCCATCCTGATAAACTGGTCAGCCATTAAAGCACAGTGTGTTGAAACAACAAACACTGGGATTAATAACAGATCTTTAAAGAATTCAACTGTGGAAGGCAAAGGGAGGAGGGAGGAAGCCACTGCATTATGTAGCAGAAAATATAACACAATTAACAGTTGACACACCAGTTTGCTTTCCCACCGTTTGTGATCCACATCTTCTGACCATTAATAACATATTCATCTCCCTTCTTCTCAGCCTTTGTTTTTATACCAGCCACATCAGAGCCTGCTCCAGGCTCTGTTACACAGTAAGCCTAAAAGAAAATAAAATCTTGAGGTTCTATCTTTAGGCAACCACGAATTATTGCAGAGTATGTGCATTAAATGGATCTGTAAAAGGTTTAAGTGAACAGCATGGTAAAAACGTTAGATCAAAAAACCTAACACAAAATAACCCAACCCAAAAAATCTCACAACAGATGTCTGAGCAAGAATCCAAACATGGGTGGGTTCATTTTCTTTAGAAATCCATCATAATACATAAAATTGTCTTTTAATCAAACAGAACCATTCTGTAACACTTTGGTTATTATTTCTTTAGGCTTCACAAATTCTGATGTGAAAGTTGACGACCTTTAAAATCTGAAAATTGGAGCACTGAGTAATATTTTGTTTAGTGTCCTTAATTTTATGAGGCTTAGTTGTTCAGATTTTAATGTGCTGCACATGAATCTTTACTTCTTTCCATGTAACAAGTACTGTTTATATTATTTTAAGATCACAAATACAATTTAATTCCCAACTGAGTTTCTCCTCATACAAGCCCCATATATTTCTTAAATGCTTACACCCTCTCTTGAAAGGGAAATAAAAGGCAATAATTTTGCCAAAAAAAGTGACTTAGGATGGGGATGATTTTCCAAGTAATATCTTCTATTTGCTTCTTGAGTGTATCTCATTAGCTATTCCCTGACTTTCAGTAAATGCCACTGGTTTTGTTTACAAATCAAAATGGGCGAAGTTGTGAATACGTCAGGTTTTTCTGTGGGGGGAGAAAAAAATAAAGAGAAAAAACAGAGCAAAGGAAAAAAAAAAGAAATGCTTTAGGAACATTCTGCAGTCTAGCAGTTATACTTACACACATCAATGGTTCCTCTGTCATTCTTCCTAAGTATTTCTTCTGCTGATGCTCATTTCCTGCAATGATTACTGGCATTTGCTGAAAGAAAATACGTAGACCATGAATCCACCTTTTTAAAGTGGGTAGATTGTAGTTTAAGGGATGTAAGAAAAGACAGAACTTACCCCTAGGGAATTTGCTTCAATGGCAGTTTGAACCCCTGTACATCCATAAGCTAACTCTTCTGTAATAAGGCATGCTTCAAAACTGCCAAGGCCAAGACCACCTACAGTTGAAATATTTCATTTATTAAAATGGGTTTAAAGTATAACATATTAGTGATTTACACCAATTAATTAACAAACACATATGTCCCCACCTATATTTGATTATGCACCATATTTGATTGAACATTCTCGTGCAAGCTTTTTAAATAAAGTTTTGTCAGAAGAGTAACAGGTGATTTGAAAATTACATATCACAGTTCCAGGGTTGTTCTGTGGTTAATGTGGGAAAAGTTGCACGAAGTGGCAAAAATGTACCCCTCCAATTTTTTGAATACTTTATGTTTGAGAATTAATATTTCTCAGAAGGCAGAGAAAGGGCTCCTGAGCTACTGCAGCACTAGGGAAAAAAACCACAATTGTCCATATGAGTCAGACAACCAACTCAGTAATCTATTTCTGACAGAAGCAAAAGCTTTGGAAAGTATATAGAAATACAATAACAATACAACTATACTTCCTCAAAAATATTTTCCTGAGCCTTCACATGACTTCATCAGCCAAAGAGATATCTCTGTTACACTAAGCCTTGACAAGTATTTCTTAGGTGAATTTGACCAGCCTCTTTTTGAATCTATCTAAAATTTTAGCATCAGTCGTATCCAGGGACAATGAGTTTCACAAATTAATTATACACCGAGTGTGGATCCATCTCCTTTCATTTATTCTGAACCTGCCATCTGCTGATTTAACTTGATGCCTTCTAGTTATATTGAAAGGGACAGTGAACTATCAATGCCTTTGCACACTCTCCATGACACCGACATTTTAGTCATCTCTCACGCAGAAGCAACATGTCACACCTAAGATACATCTTCCATACTCTCTGTCACCCTTTCAGGAACCTTTTCCATTTCCACAATACTCCTTTGAGATAGAAGGATCTGACTACATAATGAATTAAAGAGGCAAGTGTCATTTGAATTCAGGCAGCAGCATAATTATGCCTTCTGCTTCCTTGCCTCAAAGGTCCCTTCTGACCTTAAATCTCACTATTTTGACCAATTCTGAGCATTTTGCTGACATTCACAGAACTATGTATTATAAACTAAAAAAAATCTCTTTTTTTCAGAGGCATGAACTCGTTCAGAAGATGCCATTTCTCTGTGAACTTGATTGCTTCTTTCCCTTCACACTTGCTTCACTTTTCCTCTTTTGAATTGCATTTGCCATTTTAACAGTCACTCAGTCTCATGACCTTCTGCAGCTCTCCGCTCATCTTCTTTACACTGAATAACTTAGCATTATCAGTAAACTCTTTTGCCTCAGTACTGACATCCTTTTCCAGTTTATAGATATTCCAAACAGCACAAGACCCAGCAAAGCTGTGCTGCTATTTCTATTTTTCTATCATGAAACTTGGTGATTTTTGAAACTAATTTTGGAAGTTCAAGCATTCTGTATCGACCAGGCATTCCTTGTTCACACACTTATTAGCTGCTTCAGAGAGCTCCAATGATTTTATGAGGCATGACGACTGGCTTTTACCAAAAACCTTCTCTAGCATGTCCTGTTTATCTGTGTTCACTGTACCTCATCTTACTTGCTCTTCATTTACGTGGCACATCAAGCTTACTAGTGTGTATTTTCCCAGATCTCCCTTGGAGGCCTTCTAAAACTATAGTATCCAGTTTGCCACTTGTAATTTTTCATTTAATAACCAAGTGATTATACAATGCAGTAGTCCCAGCCTTTAATTTTCTAGAATCTGTGACTGAATAAATCTAGTCTTCACAAGTGCTCCTTTTGTGTCTTTGTTCCTTACCCTCATTTCTTACATTATTAATAAAAGGCTCTGCTATGGACACTTCCCTAACTTCTTTTTCAGGCAATATAAATGCAAAAAAGAAAATAATCTAAGATTTTTTTTCAGGGTTATTCATATATCTAAACACTGCCAAAGCACTGCTGCACTGCACCTGATCAAAACCGAAAAACTGTCCTTCTGGAATAAACTCCTGAATAGTTTCAGCCTGTGTCAAAGACTAGAACAAAATGAGACCTAATTTCTTTGCCTAATCAGCTGAGGCGGTGCACCAAGGAACATCAGGCAGCTGTAATCACGAAAGGAAAATCTGGTCATAAATTATGAAAACATATTCTGTCTAATTTGTCTCCTGATTACATCCACACCTAGTAACACTTGTGTGTGTCAACCTGCCTACTGATTAAATTTAGATTACTCAAGTATGCAACTGTTTATTTTATACAGAATCCATAATGACATATATAAATCTCATCTAATGCCTTTTCTTTGTTTCATTTTACAGTTTAAAAAGAATTTTTACTTACCACAGTTTTCTGGTATGTGTGAGTTCATAAGCCCAAGTTCCCATGCCCGTTTTATAAGTGGAAAAGGATACTTAAATAGACAGGGGGGGAAAAAAAAGTCACTTTCTGATTCATCACAATCAGCACTTAAAATTCTATGCCAGTTAAGATAAAAGTCTATTTCTTAAAAGTCTATTTCTTCCCTTGCACTGTGTTAGATTTACCTCTCCAGTTCTGTCATATTGTGCAGCAACAGGAATAATTTCCTCCACAGCAAATTTACGAGCAGTAGCTTGAAACTCCTTCTGTTCATCAGTAAGTTCTATAATTAAAAAAAAAAAAAAGTCACAAATTCTCTACCACCTTTAATTTTGTCAGAGTATGAGAAAAGAGAAAACAAGAGTATACTCCAAGGACAACCCAAACCACCACTTTCTGGGCCTCTCCAGGAAGCAAAATAGCTCAGCTTCCTCTTCCCCCTGGGACAAACCCTCCATCGCTCTCTCACCAACACCTACAATACACTTCCTGATGAAGCTATCCACAAAATATAGAAAACAGAATAGGGAGGGCTGTGTAACATAAAATGTATTACCAAAAGAAACAAGAAGAATGCTGTGTTAATTAAATGGAGGAAGAGAAGGAGACAGATGTCATCCAAAGGTCCTGGTTATTCACTTTCAAACATCTAGCTGCTGACCCAGTAAATCTGCTTTATATATATAATATGCCAAGATGAGGATGAATTTCCTTACAACTTGTCTTTATAAAGAATTTCAACTATGACTACGTTTAGTTACTTCAACACTGTAAACAGCAACATGAGATAATTACTCAAAGCTAAGACACTTTAGAAATAAAAAAGCTTAACACAATCAAGAGTTTAAAAAAAAAAAATAATCTTATAAACACGACACACATACCTGACCAACCTGAGGAAGAAAGTAATTTTGGCTTTCAAATCTTTTCTTTAAAACTATTAGACAGCTATTTAGAATAAACACCTTCATTTTAAATTCACATTGAACTGCAATATATGATTTTATACTTTTAAACTCTGCAATCTGCCCTTACTTGCTGTATTTCTTTCAAAAACTGTAATACTTACCAAAGCTAAAGCCAGCTCCAGGTTTGCCTATATGTAAGTTTTGAGTGGGTTTAGTAGAATGTGTTCTCCATCCATGCCCTGCAATGCTTTGAAGCATTTGCTAATGAGAAAAAGAACATGAGGTGTAAGATCTTCCCAGCCCAAGCCTCCTAAAGCTACTAGCCTGATCACAGCACAACTTCCCAGTAGAATCCCACTTCAGAAACAGGATCACATCAAATACAACACAATCACTACAGTGGTAAATGAATTCCTGTCTACCTTAAGTTCTGTTCCTCTGCAAGCAGTGCTCACATGAGCTGAGAGCTACACCAGGAACCCCAGGGTCCAACAGCACAGCCTGAGTGAACTGCCGTATCCACTTCTAAGTATTGCACAATCAATTATTTAAAAATAATTAAGCATAATTAAAATTTTTGTTCACTGAAACATAGCAATACACATTTCTGTTATTTATACATGCACTCGTCAACCTTGATTTTCTTGCCCACTAGTGAATACTCTATCTATCCAATGTTTACCTACATGCAGATTTAGCAAGACTTTAAAAACAATCTACTTATTAACCAATATCTGTTAAAATATTTTGATGCTGTCCCAGACTCTTGTCTGCTTTCTTTTAATAATCTGCTGCTGTGGACACTTAGTGTTTATTATATGCAGCAGACTAGCTGAAATTTATTCTTCTTCCCAGTATTTATCACAAATTTATTCTTTTTCATTGTTAGGTGCCTTCTTTGCTTTTTTAAGTTTATGTAACCCACAAATATATATAAA